CTTGGCCTGACCAGGGGCGCCCCCTTTTGGGAATCCTCCGATTCACTTGAGAGACTCATGGAAGCCCTCAAGTCATTGTCATCCTGCTCCTCCTCGTTCCGGGATTCTTCTCCCTCGCTCTCAGTCTCGTCCCTCATCTGTGCCTCTCTCCCTGAACCCCTGACACCCATACTCTATATATCAATTTTCTTATTATATGATTCAAAATTGATTTCTTTCCATGTTTTAATATAATTTTCTTTAAATAGATTGGTGTTTTCATTTGTCAGCCAGATTCCCAAATACTTAGTTTTATTTACTGTTTCCAATCCTGATATTTTATTTAGTTCTTTTTCCTGTGTTGACATATTTTTTGCTAGCACACTATTCTTATTTTTATTTAACTTAAATCCTGCCACTTCGAAATTCAAGGATTTTCCTTATTATTTTGCCTCAACACCCCTAAGAATATTTTCTCCGAGTCCTGTTTTTTCTGTAGTTTTTTTCATGGAGCTCCAAGAGATGTTGTCGAAGACCTTCTCCATGTCTATCAGCATCAAAATGGCTTTTTTATCTGCTCTTGCTTCTAAATATTCTAAAATATCAATTATGTTTCTCATTTTATTGTGCATGTGTCTGCCTGGTAAGAAGCCAGCCTGATCTCTATGTATTATTTCATTCAATATATTTTATATCATTATTGAACAATGATATAGGTCTATAATTTTTGATTAGTGTTCGATCTGCTCCTTGTTTGGGTATCAGTGTGATAAGTGCTTCTTCCCATGATTTTGGTATTCTTCCTTCCTTTAAAATTCCGTTCAGTACTGTTTCATTGGTTCTGATAATATATCTTCTAACTTCTTATAAAATGCCGCCAATAATCCATCTGTACCTGGGGACTTTCCTATCTTTGCTTTTGAGATTGATTGCTGCACCTCCATCATCGCTGTTGGTAGATTTAGTTGTTCTACTTTCCAATCTGCTATTGTCGGGAGTCTATTTTGTGCTAAGTATCTTTCCATTTCCTCCTCTTGGTCTTCTTCTTTTGCATGGTAAAACTTCCTATAGTAGTTTACAATTTTTTTGCATATTTCTTTAGGATCTTCAATTATTTTTCATTTCTCAATTACTCTCTCTTTTTGTTTTTTCTTCAATTGCCATGCAAGTAGCCTACCTGATTTATTGGAACCACTGGAGAGGTATAGAAATGGGGCTTCTGTTGGGAAGGGGCCGCCCCATTTGTGCTTCTCCAGGGGCAGGAGAATATCTAGGGCAGGAGAATCCCTGCAAGGCCTCTGAGGCTGCCTTTCCTTCTTCCTCTCTCCCAGGACCCTGCAGCTTCTTTTTTTTAAAAAAAGATATTTATTGAAATTTCAACATTTTACAGAAATAAGAAGAAAAAAGAAAAATACAAAGTAAAAACAGTTAAAAACAGATCCGTTTTTCCAAGTCTTATCTTTCATTTGCTTGTTTCCCTGACCTCCTCACACCTCCCTTTTTTGTATTCCAGTTCAATTAATTAATTCAGCAAATCCTTTCCCTCTTTGATTTTATCTTAATCTTTTATCTTAATATATTGTAACTTTATATTATCACCTGTTAACAAACCATTTTACATATTCCTTTATAACATTGCTACTAAAGACCGCTTAACTTCAATCCAACATCATTCTAACATTCATTAATTTTGCAGTGTTTCTGTAAATAGTCTTTAAATTTCTTCCAATCTTCTTCCACCGACTCTTCTCCATGGTCTCGGATTCTGCCAGTCATTTCCGCCAATTCCATATAGTCCATCACTTTCATCTGCCATTCTTCCAGAGTGGGTAAATCTTGTGTCTTCCAATACTTTGCAATAAGTATTCTTGCTGCTGTAGTCGCATACATAAATAAAGTTCTGTCCTTCTTTGACACCAATTGGCTGACCATGCCCAGGAGAAAGGCCTCTGGTTTCTTCAGGAAGGTATATTTAAATACCTTTTTCATTTCATTATATATCATCTCCCAGAAAGCCTTAATCCTTGGGCATGTCCACCAAAGGTGAAAGAATGTACCTTCAGTCTCTTTACATTTCCAACATTTATTATCGGGCAAATGATAGATTTTTGCAAGCTTGACTGGTGTCATGTACCACCTGTATATCATTTTCATAATATTCTCTCTTAAGGCATTACATGCCGTAAATTTCATACCAGTGGTCCATAACTGTTCCCAGTCAGCCATCATAATATTATGTCCAACATCTTGTGCCCATTTAATCATGGCAGATTTCACCGTTTCATCCTGAGTATTCCATTTCAACAGCAAGTTATACATCTTTGACAAAATCTTGGTTTTGGGATCTAGCAATTCTGTTTCCAATTTTGATTTTTCCACCTGGAAACCAATTTTCTTGTCCAAATTATATGCCTCCATTATCTGATAATAATGAAGCCAATCTCGCACTTTATTTTTTAGTTTTTCAAAACTCTGCAATTTCAGTTTGTCTCCCACTTGTTCCAAAATTTCCCAATATTTCGGTCATTTGGCCTCCATATTGTTTTTCTGAACCTTCGCTTCCATCGGTGACAACCGCCTTGGGGTTTTATTTTCAAGTAAATCCTTGTATCTTATCCAGACATTATACAATGCTTTCCTGACAATATGGTTTTAAAAGGCTTTATGTGCTTTGACCTTATCATACCACAGATATGCATGCCATCCAAATACATTATTAAAACCTTCTAAATCCAAAATGTGTGTTTTCAAGAAGCAGCCATTCTTTCAGCCCGCAAAAAGCTGCTGATTCATAATAAAGTTTAAGGTCTGGCAGGGCAAATCCACCTCTTTCCTTTGCATCCGTTAGTATTTTAAATTTTATTCTAGGCTTCTTGCCCTGCCAGACAAATCTAGAAATGTCTCTCTGCCACTTCTTCAAACAATCCATTTTATCCAAAATTTGCAATGCTTGGAACAGAAACAACATTCTAGGCAATACATTCATTTTTATCGCAGCTATACGGCCTAGCAGTGAAAGCTTCAAATTTGACCAAATTTCTAAATCTTTTTTCACTTCCGTCCAGCATTTTTCATAATTGTCTTTAAATAAATTCCAATTTTTAGCTGTCATGTTAATCCCCAGGTATTTCACTTTCTTAACCACTGTTAAACCTGTCACATTCTGAAACCTCTCTCTCTCAATTGCTGTTAATTTTTCTCTAAAACCTTAGTTTTTAACTTATTCAATTTAAATCCTGCAACCTGACCAAATTCTTTAATCAGTTCCAAAACTCTTTTAGTACTAGATTCTGGCTCCTGTAATGTCAATACTAAGTCATCTGCAAATGCTCTCAATTTGTACTGTTTAGCTCCGACTTGTATACCTTTAACCAACTTGTCCCTTCTAATCATATTCAACAGGACCTCCAGGACCAATATAAAAAGCAGTGGAGAGATTGGGCAACCTTGTCGTGTCCCTTTTTCTATCATAAATTCCTCCGTCACCACATTGTTAACAATTAGTTTGGCCTTTTGTTCAGAATAAATCGCACTTATACCATTTCCGAAACCTTGACCCACCCCCATCCCCTGTAGATTCTTCTTCATAAAACTCCAAGAAATATTGTCAAAGGCTTTCTCCACGTCCACAAATATCAAAACTGCCTTGGTATTGATATTCACTTGTAGTTTTTCTAAAATATTAATTATGTTTCTCATATTATCAGACAAGTGTCTACCCGGGAGAAAGCCTGCTTGATCTTTATGAATCTCTTCCACTAACACTTTTTTTAGTCTTGTAGCCAAAATATCTGCAAAAAATTTATAATCCGCATTCAGCAGTGATATGGGGCGGTAGTTCTTGAGCTGCGCCTTTTCAGTCTCTGTTTTTGGTATAAGTGTGATGTACGCTTCCTTCCACGACTCTGGTGCCCTTTTCCCTTCCAATATTTCATTACAGACTTCCTTTAAAGGTTGTACTAACCATTCCTTTAAAGATCTGTAATATCTAGAAGTCAGTCCATCCGGTCCTGGAGATTTACCTAATTGCATATTCTGAATGGCACCTTCTACCTCCTGTTCAGTTATTTTATAATTCAGCATTAATTTATTTTATTGAGAGATTTTTTGTAATCATTTATTTTCAAAAATCGATCTATATCAAGTTCTTTCTGTGGCCCTTGTGTATATAATTGTTTAAAGTACTTCTGGAAACATTTTCTAATCTCAACTGGGTTCTGTATGTTCTTTCCTTCCACTTCTAGATTTATAACAGTGTTTAGTTTTTGTCTTTTTTTCATTTGCCAGGCCAACAATTTCCCACATTTATTAGCCGACTCAAATGTTTTTTGTCTCATTTGTTTAATTTTCCATTCTATTTCCTGATTCATCATTGTCATGTATTGTACTTGATATAATTTTATTTCTCTCAAAATCTCTTGTGACTTTGGTTTTGCTCTCAATTTTTTCTCACCTTCTTTTATTTTCTCCAAAATTTTGTCTTTCTTCTCATTTTAGGTTCTCTTCTTTATTGCATTCTGTTGTATCAGAAACCCGACCCTGCAGCTTCTTTTGGCTCCTTGACTCCTCAGGAAGGATGAAAGGGATTGATCCTGCAAAACTAGCGAAGATGGAAGGGGGAAGATGGATGGTTGACCTGGTCAGATTGTCTCCTGCATCCCTCCTCTCAACCTCTGAGCGTTCCCTCCCAGGGACCTCCAAGAGATCTGGTGAGTTCCAGGGGAGGGGAGATGGGGACCTGGATGGATGGAGGGTGAAGAGGGGAAGGTCTCTGGCCAGAAATGAGAAAAAGCAGGGATTTTGCCTCCCAACATATTGGGAGGCTTCCCCTCCAGCCAGAAAATCTCTGCAGGGCCTCTGAGGCTCCCTTTGCTTCTTCCTGTCTCCCAGGACCCTGCAGCTTCTTTTGGCTCCTTGACTCCTCAGGAAGGATGAAAGACACAGATCCTGCAAACCTAGCAAGGATGGAAGGGGGAAGATGGACAGTTGACCTGGTCAGGTTGTCTCCTGCATCACTCCTCTCAACCTCTGAGCGTTCCCTCCCAGGGACCTCCGAGAGATCTGGTGAGTCCCAGGGGAGTGGAGATGGGGACCTGGATGGATGGAGCCGGAGAGGAATTGGGGCTTGCTCAGCTAGGGGGGGGGGGAGGCAGGCAGGCGGATGGAGATGGAGAAGGGGAGCACCTTTTCGGGCTCCCCCACCTGCCTGCCTGCACCTTTGTCATCTGCAGGCAATTTGAGCTAGGAATAGATCACAGCTCACCGGCCACCACAGCTCAAAAGGTCTAAAACCAGTTCTGTGATCTGGATGCCCTGCCAATGTCAGACAACTCACTGATCCTGCTTTGCAGTTTGAATGCAGATGGGGCCTCTGTGTGTTGTCTTTTTCTTTTTGGAAAAACTTCTTATTTGCTTTTAAAAACAAGGATCATAGGACTAATAAATGATACAGATACGTAGACTAAGCCTTCACATGCCATTTGCATATCAAAAATAGCAGAATAAATTGGCAGGAATATCTATAACATGGTTCATCATTAGTGGTCAGTGTATGAGTTCTGGGTGCATGAATTGGTTTGAACTGAGTTATAGTCACGTTTCCTCTTCTGTTGCTAATGAAAAAATGCAGTCTGCTCAAAGTGAAGAAAGTGCTTTACATATAAATTTAAATTTAGACCGACTAGATTGAGGCAACAGCTGATGGGGAGCGTTCAGGTGAAGGTGTTGCTGTTTGTTTCACAGACGAGATGTGGAGGTTCCATACATACCTGTATGTGATGAACTTCAACTCTTTGGCTGGAGACCAACAGCATCTGGGATTCTAACACCCCCCACCGTGAACCCAGAATGGAGGGATATCAACTGTTTCCTCTGTGAATGTTCTGCGTCTAGTCATGAATTTTAAAACAGTGACCAGGCTTCTCTGAACCACCCAGGCCTTCTTAAATGCCGGCCTCAGAGTTTTTAGGGAAGTTGATGTAAATTCTGTCAGGCTTGTTGTTTTTGCTTCTGTTTGCATTTGATTGACCAAAGAGATGACTGACCTTGGAGATGGAGTGGAGTCCAGGATTGAGCCAGAACAAAATCCATTCCAGATAAAAGCCAAGCAATATGTCAGTAAATACCAGCCAACCAAGGCAGTGAAAACTATAGAGAGGCCCCACATCTAACTATTTTTAGTTCTTCCTCTATCACAAGCATTAATTAACTTGGTTCAATGATCTGGAGCTCCATTTCTTCCTGAGGCTCTAATTCGCTTCTCTCTTCATTGCAGATGGTGATGAATTGGAAGGGAACAAAAAGGGGGGCCACAAGAGAATCCACATAGTGGAAAAGTCATATAAACATTCAGAGTGTGGAGAGAACATCCGTCAGAGCTCCCATGGCACCTCCCGTCAAAGAAAGAGCTTCGTTCAGAGGGATAGCCTCACTGCACACAAAAGAGGGCAGAGCAGGGAGAAATTGTATCAGTGCTTAGAATGTGGAAAGAGCTTCAGTAACCGCCGGAATCTCACTTTCCATCAAAGAATTCATACAGGGGAGAAACCATATCAGTGCTTGGAATGTGGGAAGGACTTCAGGCACAGTAATACTCTCACTTTGCATCAAAGAATTCATACAGGGGAGAAACCCTATCAGTGTTTGCAGTGTGGGAAGAGCTTCAGTCAGAGGAACAGTCTCACTTTCCATCAAAGAATACATACAGGAGAAAAACCCTATCAGTGCTTCAAATGTGGGAAGAACTTCCGGGAGCGGACAAAACTCACTTTGCATCAAAGAATTCATACAGGGGAGAAACCCTATCAATGCTTGGAATGTGGGAAGAACTTCCGGGAGCGGACGAAACTCACTTTGCATCAAAGAATTCATACAGGGGAGAAACCCTATCAGTGCTTGGAATGTGGGAAGTCCTTCAGGCACAGTACTACTCTCACTTCACATCAGAGAATTCATACAGGGGAGAAACCCTATCAGTGCTTGGAATGTGGGAAGAGCTTTCGTCAGAAAGGTGATCTTGCTTTGCATAGAAGAGTCCATACAGGGGAGAAACCCTATCATTGCCTGGAATGTGGGAAGAGCTTTAGTCTCAGGCACAGTCTCACTTCCCATCAAAGAACTCATACAGGAGAAAAACCCTATCAGTGCTTTGAATGCGGGAAGAGCTTTGGGGATGGGGCCAAGCTCACTTTGCATCAAAAAACTCATACAGGCGAGAAACCCTATCAGTGCTTGGAATGCGGGAAGAGCTTCAGCCGGAAGGACACTCTCATTTTCCATCAAAGAGTTCATAGAGGGCATAAACCGTATCACTGCTTGGAATGTGGAAAGAGCTTTAGTCAGAAGGTGAATCTCACTTTCCATCAAAGAATTCATACAGGGGAAAAACCTTATCACTGCTTGGAATGTGGAAAGAGCTTTCGTCTGAGTGGTGATCTCACTTCCCATCAAAGAATTCATACAGGGGAGAAACCCTATAAGTGCTTGCAATGTGGGAAGAGCTTCAGTCAGAGGCACACTCTCACTTCCCATCAAAGAATTCATACAGGAGAGAAACCCTATCAGTGCTTCAAATGTGGGAAGAACTTCCGGGAGCGGACGAAACTCACTTTGCATCAAAGAACTCATACAGGGGAGAAACCCTATCAATGCTTCGAATGTGGGAAGAACTTCCGGGAGCGGACGAAACTCACTTTGCATCAAAGAACTCATACAGGGGAGAAACCCTATCAGTGCTTCGAATGTGGAAGGAGCTTCACTGTTAGCTCCAGTCTCACTTCCCATCACAGAATTCATACAGGGGAGAAACCCTATCAGTGCTTGGAATGTGGAAAGAGCTTCACTAATAGCTCCAATCTCACTTGCCATCGAAGAATTCATACAGGGGAGAAACCCTATCAGTGCTTGGAGTGTGGAAAGAGCTTCAATCACAGCCACCATCTGACTTCCCATCGAATAATTCATACAGGGGAGAAACCCTATCAGTGCTTGAAATGTGGAAAGAGCTTCAGACGGAGCTCCCATCTCACTTCCCATCAAAGAATTCATACAGAGGGGAAACAAAAAAAGAGAAATAAAACAAAAAATATTAAACAACCCTTACAAAATACAATTGTATAGAAAGGAAAAGGGGGGGGGAAATACACTAAAAATACTGTTTATGACCTTTGTATCATATATATCATATCATTCGTCAACACATAGAAAGGCAGGCTCCCCCACTTCTCCCCTGCGTGACCCCCTCTTCTCCCCGTATCCCACCCTGAGAGATCCATCCTTCCCTGCGTTCCTTACAGGTCCCTCCCACCTCCAACTGTCCTCTTCCTGTGTGTGTCCTCCTAAATTCAAAATAAAGAATCTTAATATTAAAAAAATACAAAAAAATAGATGATGATGATGTTAATGATAATAATAATTTATTTATACCCTTCCCATCTGGCTGGGTTTCCCCAGCCACTCTGGGCAGCTTCCAACAAAATATTAAAATACAGTAATCAATCAAATATTAAAAGTGTCAGGACTGGTCATTGTCCTCTTCAGATCACCACACAAACGCTTCTTGTTCTTTTATAACTTTTTATTGCGTATTAACAAAACAATCTTATAAACGGTTCTTAAATATTATTCCTCAGAGTCACTTCTTTCAGATACCTTCTGAGCTCTGCTTCTCCATGACCAGCCACTCTGAAAATGGCGAAGGCGCCCTTCCCTTCGCTTTCCCGCTCTTTTTCCTACCCTCCTGGCTAGAGCTGGCTTGTATCTCCCCTCCTCTGAATCTGAGCTAGAACTTAACCCTTGCCTTTCCTGGGAACAGCCGGTCCCTCCCTGTTGCTCTCTTCTCTTCAATTCACTGCTCTCCTCCCCCCCTTGGGGAATGCTTTCTCCCTCTGGGAAACTGGAATCTTCTAATTCTAACTCTTCCCTGACAAAAAGCTTCCCTAAACAGGGCTGTTGGATTACTGCCTGAGTCTGGCACGTTTCCTCTGCAGATAAATTCTTCCAGGCAGCAGCAGAGCAAGCAGCGAGTGCTTTCTGTGTGAGATAAAGGAAAAGTCTGCACACTGTTTCTTCTATCTAAACACCACTTACCCCAAACACAGACCTTCACAGAACTCCCCATCAGCGAGGTTCCAGGCAGAGGGACTTTATTTCAATGCAACTAATCCAGCCCGAACACTCTGACACACATGTTGGAAACAGATGTCTGGGTGCTTGGTCCTGGCCTTAAACTGCTCAGATTCTGCCAACTTCAGACAGAGCTGATTGTCTTCCAAAACAGTGACAGGCATACAACTCTCCGCAGATCTCTTGAACCAAACACACATAGAACTCCAGTTCCCTGCAAATCTCAGAAAGCGCACTGAACTCAGCTTCAGTAGATGAGAGCACTATGAGACTTTGCTTTCGGGAACTCCACCCAACCAAAGAGCTCCCAAATTTTACCACCATACTGGACACGGACTTCCTATCTGCCAGATTCACCCAATCGCTGTCTACCCAGTACGTCAGCTTGATGTTGCCCTTGACTGACAGCTTAAGGCAGAATTCTTTGGTATCTTCCAGGTAACGCAGGACCCGTTTGATACCATTCCAGGCTTGCACACTTGGGCTTGAAGCTTCCCGGCTGAGCAGATTAATAGCAAATGTTATGTCAAGTGTTCCACTGGGATAGATACAATAGGCCAGTGTTTCCCAACCGGTGTTCCGCGGCACACTAGTGTGCCGTGAGACACCGGCTGGTGTGCCGTGGGAGGGAGGCGGGCGAGTCGGGCGGCGAGAGGCGGGGCGGCGGCGGCGAGCACACGCGGGGCGGCGAGCGAGCGAGCTCCCACATCCCATCGCCGCTCGCTTCGGCCGGCCTACTGGAGGAAGGCGCGAAAACCCGGCGGGCTTTTGGGTGGGCGCCAAGCAAGAAAGGCGGGAAGGCTCTGGTCCCTCCCCTCCCGGCGGGGCTCCCGCACGCACCTTTCTGCGCCGCCGCGTCCCGCCTGAGCAGCAACAGGAGGAGGAGGAGGGAGGCCAGCGCCGGCCGGGTCCCCCGGGGGAGCGGGCGCTCGGGGCTGCTCACCATACCCCGCGTCTCGGGCGCAGCAGCCGGCAGTCCGAATGCATCCCGAGCCGCGCTGCTCTCGCCTTGCCTCCTTCTTCGCGCCTCCTCCCGGCTCGCGCGCCGTCCCTGCGCGGATCCGTCCAGCCTCCGGCCGCCGCCGCCGCCCCCTCCTCTTCCTCTCCTTCCCCCACCCACCAACCCGCACGGCGCGCTCCCACCGCCCCCGATGGGCGCAACCACTTCCGGGTCCGCTGCAGCCGCCCCTTCCCCGCCTCCGGCAGCCGAAAGTCCCCCAGCGGAGCCCGTCTGGCCGCTCCCCCCGCTCCCTGCCCACCTCCCGGTGTTGAGGCGCCCTCTTTCATTGCTTCGCGGGGAGGGAAAAAACTTTGACTTTTGTGCGTCCCTCCCGGCGTGACGCTGCGCGCTGACGTCACGGGGCGGGGCTTTAATGGTGGTGTGCCGCGAGATTTTTTTCCGGTAAACAGGTGTGCCGTTGCCCAAAAACGTTTGGGAAACACTGCAATAGGCTACCCAGAGCAGACTGGAAGAGCTCAGTGTTTTTGAACGCAGCGCGTTCTACTTGCTGATTGTCTTTCACGTAGCTAGTCTCCATGAGTGTCCTAACTACTGCACACTCAGACATTTGGAGCTTCTCAAGCAGTTTCTCAATCTTACCCGTTGTGAGGGAGAATACACCCAGAGACTCCATTGAGCTCATCTCCTTCTGCATTGCCTCATTGCATTTGCTGGCTTCTTCCTGAGGCAGTTTCGGAACATCCTCAAAAGTTTCAGGTTCACACTGAGCCACACCAACCCACACACTTGTGGCTTCAAACCTGTCAGGCAGTTTACCCTTTGTGGCTCGGGTTGATCTCCTCAGTGTGACCTCTGGTACCCCCTCTGACCCACTAGGGCCAGCTAGACCATCCCCAGTGTCAAAGAACTCCCCCTCTGACCTGCTGCGTCTTTTGAACCTTACAGCTGGACCTGTGGGCAAGGACAGCTCACTCTTTGGCTCAGACTTGACAGTAGCCTTTGGAGGGGTTCTGGGCCGCTCCTGCTCTGGACTCTGTTCTTCACCAACAGGATCAGTTCCCTCCTCTTCCTCATCTGAGTCAATAAGCTGTTCTGAAAGAACATCTGGGTTACCATGGATGCGTGCCCACCCACTTTGCTCACAAAACTCAGCACTGCTGCTCACAAGCAGCCGGGACTGGTTGCCATCAGGATATGCAAACCGCCACCCTCTGGTCCCTGGTTCATATCCCAAAAAGATCATTTTCCTGGACCTTGGGCCACCCTTTCTGCATTTGGCCTTTGGGATGAGGACCCAAGCCTCACAGCCAAAAACACGTAAGAAATGCACTTTGGGCTTCTTACCGTGCAGCAGAAAATAGGGCGTGTCCCCTACAGCTGAATTAAACACGCAATTCTGCGTGAACGCAGCAGCCTTCCAACACTCAGCCCAAAAGCGCTGTGTGAGTCCTTGCGTCAAAAAGCATGGCAGCCACAGACACTTGCAGTGTTCTGTTCTTATGTTCAGCAACACCATTCTGTTGGGGACTGGGTGGTGCTGTCAACCTGTGGCTGATTCCCTTCTGGAGGAAGAAATTCTGCAGGGCAGACCCAGTAAACTCCGCCCCTCTATCGCTCTGAAAGCTAATCAATTTTGTAGAATATTTCAACTCTGCCAATGTGATCCAATCTTTAATCAGTGCAGCAGCTTCCCCTTTGTGTTTAATCGAAAAAACCAAGGTCCTCGAAAAATCATCCAAAAGAAGCAAAATGTATTTGGACCCACCCAGACTCGCTACTGGCATTGGGCCACACAAATCTGCATGGAGTAGCTCAAAGGGCTTGCTTGTCTCTCTGCTAGACCTGGGATATGAGCATGTTTTTACCCTGGATTGCTTACAGGCTCTGCAATCTAAAAACTTATCACATCCCTTTAATTTACTCCACTCTGTACACTGGGGCTTTTTTGACATAATTCCAACAAGAATGCACCAGTCTTCGATGCCATAAATGAGCGCACCCATCGTGTGGCGGGACGTTTGAGCACTGCACCTGTGTTACCTCAGGGGGGTCATCATCTGCAATAGGCATCTCAACCACAAACAGCTTATTCTTGCATTCAACACTGAACAGGTGTTTCCCATCCCTGGAATTTCTGGAACCACAAAAGCCTGAACCTCACGGTCCAGGAATGAGCAGTACAGAGTCCCAGACAGGGTCAGTGGGCATCTGCTTCCATCTGCCAGTGACACAAATCTTCCACTTTGCACAGTCTGGCAGTTCCGAAGAAGTCCAGCTGATGGCACTCAAGTGTGGGTAGCGCCTGTGTCAACAATAAAGGGGAGGCTGGCTTCCGGTCTGGATGCTTTCACTACTGCCATTGAAGCAGACAGATGATACAGCGACGTCTTCTCTTTACTTTCACCTCGGTTGGGACCTTGGGAATTTTTCATATGCCTGGCCGCTGTTGAGGAGCTCCTTATCTGCATTCCTTTCTGGCTGACCTTCGGCTCCTGAGCCTCTGCAGGGCAATCTCTCACGAGATGCGACGTAGACCCACAGCGAAAACAGCGCTTGGAGACAAAGGCTTTTACTGAGTCCTCACTGCTTCTTGCTGCCCCCCCCTTTCTTGGGGTGCAGCCTGTGCCTTCTCTCCCCGCCCTCTGGCATTTTTCCTGTTCATCAATCAATCTCCCACGAATATATTCAGTCGTCAGCTCCGCAGGCGGCATAACTTCCATTGTCAGAACCAGGTTCTCATAACTCCTGTCCAAAGAGCTCAGCAGAATGGAAGCTTTCAGCTCACCTGGGAAAGGTACGTTGAGCTGACGCAGCTTAGTGAAAATGGCCAGCATCTGCACAATGTGGTCACATACCGATTCCCCTGGGGACAGTCTTTTCTGAAACAGGGAGCATATCACATGGATCTTGGCCCCAGCTGTTGTGCACTGGTGGACCCTCGTTAAAGCTTGCCAAATTCCGTGACAAGTCAATAAACCGTCAATGTGAGGCAATTGCGAAGCCTCCGTGGCCATTACAATATGGGACGTGGCTTTCTGATCCTTTTTTTGCTGCGCCAGCAGCCCTTTCCACTTCGGCCGCATTGGCCCCAGCAGCTGCCGGTACTGGATTGGCTTGGGGGCACTCCCAGAGCTGCTTGCCCATTAAGCAGTAACGAATCTGGCGAGACCAGTCGTCCCAATTGTGGCCATTTAGCCTTTCAAAAGGCACATTGAAAGATTCATGAGATTGCTGCTGTGCCATCTTCCTGGGGCTTTAAGCTTACAGGCGCTTTCTGCCGGCCGGTGCTTCAAAGATGCTTCCTGCAGCAAGCTCCGCTTTCGCCAGCGAAATCACAACTGCCTCAGCTTCAGGCAGGATCTCAGAGCTGGACTTTGCTTCTCACACTCAGCACAAAAACATACAGCCAGAACCGCTTGGATTACTGCCTGAGTCCGGCACTTTTCCTCTGCGCATAAATTCTTCCAGGCAGCAGCAGAGCGAGCAGCGAGTGCTTTCCGTGTGAGATAAAGGAAAAGTCTGCATGCTGTTTCTTCTATATAAAGAGCCTTTATTTACATCAGTAGGTAAAAATAACAAACAACCCCACCAGAGCTCGGACACATGCTGTGTGTCTCTCTCTCCCGGACAGAAGTGAAACTGTTTCACACAGACAAAGAACCTGCAGCTTCCCTTTACGTAGGAAGCTCCTCCCCAGATGTAGGACATTCAGGAGGTTAACCCTATTACCACAACACTCCACAAGGGCTGCCTTCAGATGTCTTCTAAAAGTCTGGTAGTTGTTTTTTTCTTTGACATCTGCTGGGAGGGGGTTCCACAGGGCAGGCGCCACTACCAAGAAGGCCACTATCAAAAAGGAAACTCCCATCTCCGTCTGAAAATCATCTGTAGCAACAATTATTCATAATTTGCACTCCAGAATAAACCCAGCTGTATTTAGTATCCAGCCTTTTTTCCTCCTCTTCACCAAGATGACACTTTCCCTACATTTCCCTCTTAACCAAATCTTAACCAACTCAGACAATGCAATATGACTCTTATAAGGATCGTCCCCAGTTCTAAAAGCAGTGTTTCTGGCCTTCAAGAATCTCCTAACCTCTCCCGTCATCCAGGGCTTCCTATTCGGATACAACTTAACATACCTTTCCCTGGTGCATTTCCTGTGCCGAATCTAAGACCGTTGATGTAGAAGTTTCTAGATCTTGATGGTGGAACATATTCCAATCGGTCTCCTGGAAACAGTCCTGCAACTGCTGAGAGGCTCCCTCAGGCCACACCGTAACCATCCGTGTTTGTAGCTGGCCTTGTTTCCTGAGGGGTGTGGACACTGGTGTCAGAAGCAGGGACACATGATCTGAACCACTGAGGTGCGCCTCATATGCCCGTCTAATGTTCGTATACACCTTGTCAAGAGTACTTTCTCCCCTTATTGCACACTCAATGTGCCCATGGGATTTTGGGAGTGCTGCCCTCACATCTGTGTGAGTGAAGTCCCCTGCAATAATCCGCGCTGCCTCCGGGTATCTGCTCAATTTAGCATTGATGTTTTCATGCATAGTGCGCACCCCGGAAATGATCTCTTTCAGCTTCTGCCTTCTGGAAGAAGGTACAGGGTTATAAAGATTAGGACTAGCCCACCTGAGGAACAGTTTTCTATCCAGTTGTGATTTTGGTTTTAAATGCAGTGTAAGGTAGTCTCTATGGGAGTATATTGATTTAATTATGGGGTATCAGGCGCTGCCTGAGGGGAGGAACAAGCGAGGGCCATCCAGAAAGGGCTCCTGGGACCCTAAAGGGCCAGCAGGGGAGTCTCCAGCCTCGTCTGGGGAAGAGCCCCCCTTTTCCCAAGGCCTGCAGGTGGAGCCCTTCTAGTGCTGACTCTTGGGGTGACCAAGGATGCTGGTCTGGGGGTCAAACTCCCTGAGGGAACCCTCCACCTCTGAGGGATAAAGCCCTTCTTATTATTATTACTACTACTACTACTATGTTATTCTTCTGCTCCCTTGGGCCTTTTGCCTCCTGGCCCCCTTCGCAGACCCCGGTGGATCCCCCAAGGCCACTGCCTGCGTCTCCCAAGGGAGAGGCCTCCTCCGTGGGCCAACATGGCGAGGAGAGAGGCTGCCCTGCGGAGGCCAAGCCATCATGGCAGGAAGGCGGCTGAGGACCAAAGGTGCCGCCCCTCCTTCATCCGGGAGGAGAGACCCCGAGAGCGTGGGACCCCCAAGCCCACAGGGGAGCCATGGCGTCTCTGGGAGCGGCTGGGGCTCCGGGAAAAAACAAAATGGCGTTCCTCCTATTTCGGAAAAGGGCGGAAACCCCTTCTCCTGGCCCTGCCGCCTCCTGGGCTCCTCCTGGGCCTCCCTGGCCATGGGGGGGGGGGGAATCCACTGCCCAAATAATGGGGGGGGGGGAAGCAGGAAAGAGAGAAGGAAGGAGAAATGAAGGAGAAAGCTGGGAGGGGGAAGCCAGCCATGAGGGGAAAACTCAGGAAGGAAAACCTCCCTCAGGAAAACCGGCGAAGGAGAGGGAGGCCCAGGGGAATCTGAAAGGGGATTGGGCCACGCCTGCCAATGGAGAGGCCTCTGATTGGTCCAGCCCTGCCATCTGGGGGCGGGAAAATGTGGTCTCCTGCCTCCAATGAGGTTCTGGGAGCCCAGGAGAAACTGGTTTTCTGGGCAGGAAAACTCGGAGGAAAGGAAGGCCTGGGGTCCCTCTGGCTACTGAGCCGGAGTCTGCTCCCCTCTCTCCACCATCCTGCTCTTCCCCTCTCTTTTTCATGCGCCCCCCTCCTGCCCCCCCCGGGTCACGTGTGCGTTTCCTTCCTCGCCTGGGACTCTTCCCTCCTCTGAAAAGCGGCTCCAGAAGCAGAAAAACCCGTATTTTGCGGAGGGAGGGGTTCTCCCCGCCTGGGGGAAGCCCCCCTCCCTCCCCCAGCTGGAGGGTTTCCTTGGGGGGGTGTCCTGGGGGGAGCATTGCTGAGCCCAAGGCACCTCCGCCACTAGGCAGCCCTTGGCCTCTTCCTCCCTCCCAGCCTTTCCTTGGATGTTGGGGAGGGGGAGAGCCAAGCTAACCCCCCATGAGACCCCGCCCCCGTCTCCCTTGGCAGGTAGTCTGGTGGGGTGTGGCTCCTTGGGGCAGAGGGAGGGAAGGGGGGCAGCCCTAGGGCGCAAGGCCGCAGAAGCAGGAAACTCCAGGGAGGGGAGGACTCGGCTTAGCAATGGTTAAGAGGAGCAGAGCGGGATTCCTAGAGAGGGCAGGAAGTGAAGGGGGAGGGGCTAGGTCCTCCAGAGCAGAGCCCCCTCCCTCCCCCTCCCTCCCTGCTTTCTTCTTCTTCTCCTTTGCAAAAGCCCCTCCTGGACTCGGGTGAGTCTCCTCTCTTTCCCCTGAGGGTGCAATGGGGAGAAGGGGGTCCCAGGGGGGCAGGGAGGGGGCATGGGGGTCCCTGTTCAGGTCATGCGCGGTGGGGGGAGACCCCAAGTCAGGGAGCAGAGGGTCCTCCTTTGTCCTCTCTGCCAAGCCAGGGAGGGCCACTTTGCAGGAAATATGCAGCTCTGCTCTTCCTTGGGATTCCAGATGCTGCCTTCCTTTTGGGGGAGGGGCTTGGGTCAAGGAAATAAAACCCCTCAGAGGGAGGGAAAGTCACCTTTGGGAACAGAGGCTGCAGCCAGAGGGGAACATTCCCACGTGGGGGGAGCACAGGGAGGAGAAAAGCCGTCTGCATCTGCATCTGCACAACTGGACCACTTCCTGTGTCCCAGATGCAACCAACACATGTCTCTCCCCCAGATCTCACTCCCAAAGACAGACTCTTCCATGGGTCCCCTAAGACAGATGGATGCCAACCAACCAACCATTCCCTCCCCTCACAATGCACAATGCGGGCTTCCCCTCCCCTCCCCCTCCTGGTGCCCCTTGAAGTTGGCTTGAGGGCAGGGGGAGGGTCCACCCCACCAGATGAAGGGAGAGGAGGTCCTTCCATCTGGGAAAATGGGAATGCTTGCAAAGATTTCATGAAGATGAGGGGCCATATACAGTGGTGCCTCGCAAGACGAAATTAATTCGTTCCGCAAGTCTCTTCGTCTTGCGGTTTTTCGTCTTGCGATGCACGGTTTCCCATAGGAATGCATTGAAAATCAATTAATGCGTTCCTAGGGAAACCGCCTTCAGACCAAGTCCGGGGACAGACTGTCCCCGGACCTCTTCTGAAGGCTGGGGGGGGGGACAAGGCTTTCTTCCCACCCCCAGCATTTTAAAAAACCCCGGGACGCGGAGGACGTCTCCGCTGTCCGGGGCGATCTTAAATGCTGACGGGTCGGCATTTTAAAATCGCCCCGGGACCGGCGGAGGACTTCTCGGCTGTCCGGGGCGATTTAAAAGCCCTGGGAAGGCAGGCAGGGGGGACAAAGACTTTCGCCCCCCGCACCGCCTTCAGAAGGTGCTTTCCCGCCGCCCCCCCCCCCAGGCTTCGCACGCGTTCGGAGCAGCGTTCCGAAGCGGGGTGGCTGGGGCAGGTGTTCCCGCCCCCCACCCCGCTTCGGAGCACCGGGAGAAGCGATCTCCCCGCAGCCCCTTGCTTCAAAAGAGAAGACCCGCTGTCCCCGGGGGAAGCTTCGTTTTGCGAAGCAAGCCCATAGGGAAATTCGTCTTGCGAGGCAACTCGAAAACGAAAAAACCTTTCGTTTTGCGAGTTTTTCGTCTCGCGAGCGTTCGTCTTGCGGGGTACCACTGTAGATAATAATATTATTATTATGTGAATTCCCCCGCTTACACAAAGATTAATACAGTGGTACCTCGGGTTAAGAACTTAATTTATTCTGAAGGTCCATTTTTAACCTGAAACTGATCTTAACCTGAGGTACCACTTTAGAAAATGGGGCCTCCGCTACCACCGCCGTGCGATTTCTGTTCTAATCCTGAAGCAAAGTTCTTAACCCGGGTACTATTTCTGGGTTA